GTGCGTGCGTGGGCGTGCGTGAGTGCGTGCGTGCGTGCGTTCGTGCGTGCGTGCGTGCGTGCGTGCGTGCGTGGGTGGGTGGGTGGGTGGGTGGGTGTGTGGGTGTGTGTGTGTGGTGTGTGTGTGTGTGTCTGTGTGTGTGTGTGTCTGTGTGTCTGTGTGTCTGTGTGTCTGTGTGTCTGTGTGTCTGTGTGTCTGTGTGTCTGTGTGTCTGTGTGTCTGTGTGTCTGTGTGTCTGTGCGTCTGTGTCTGTGCGTGTGTCTGTGCGTGTGTCTGTGCGTGTCTCTGTGCGTGTGTCTGTGTCTGTGTCTGTGTCTGTGTCTGTGTCTGTGTCTGTGTCTGTGTCTGTGTGTGCGTCAAAATAGAGTGCCCCCCAAAAGATGTTTGCCTTTTTGTTTCCCTCCAAGCCAACCTGAAACGGGTGCCCTCAACATAGACACACATCCCTTACCCAGGGGGACAAACACTTATGTCCTCCAGTAGAGAGGTTAGAATAAGGGTACCCGATTTGTTTTTCTGTAGTCCATTTTAGCAGGGGAACCCTCCCAACCAAAAAAAAATCGGTAAAAGGGCATTACTGGGGGACCTAGTCACATTCTTAAACCTCCACCTACTCCCCCCCCCCCGGCGGAACAAATGGACCGCTCATCTCTGGTCGCTCGCTCGCGCCTGCCGCTCAGCGCCGCCTTTGCGCTGACTGCCGTAGGGCGTGGCGGTGCTCTCGGCAGGGCTCAGAGGCCGCGCCTCTCGAGCGAAGCGGTGTGCGTCGAATACGTGGCTGGAACACCTGGGCTATAGGTGTGACATGGATGTGGGTGAAAACCCTGTATTTTTGGTGAACATCAAAATAGGTGGTACATGGGAGGCATAGGTTATGACCCGTGGCCATATACTCACCTGCCCAAAGGCCCCTGGAAATGCAAGGTGGTCACCTTTTGGGGCCATGACTGAAAATGGTTGCCAAACAGGGGAAACCAAAACAAAGGTCAACAAAACGTTGATTCGCTTTGGGCAACTGAGCACAACGTTGGGACCGATACCATGGTAAGGGGGCAAGGTTGTGTCCATGCATGGTTTCTGACCACTTACTAAAGGTACCTTGCCCCTTTGAGCAAGCGCACCAGACGATTCTTCGGAATTTCTTAGGATCCAATTTCACTGACCCTGGAGTGCCTGTCATTGTTTGCCCAAAGAAATTGTTCGCTTTGCACAGACCCAGGATTGAGGCCAGTTTCCATTGCCGCAGGAGTCCTCATGTACAGCCTGCCGCATAGGCTCAAGCTTGATTGATTACTGCTGTGGACGAAATCATGCCCCACTTTGAAACCATGGTTAAACCATTGGCTGAAATTTGCGGGGGCATAGAATCATTCCAGAAAGTCTGAACGGTGGATTCCTCCATCCAGTATTGATGACTTGAGTCACAATCAAAACCCGGGATTAGAATGGTCTACCCAGAACCATGCAAAGAATTAAGAAGGCGGCCGAAACTATTTCTGGCTGGGACTGCCCCTTACTAGCCTTCATCTACCCGGGTTTTGATTGTGGCTCACTCGTCTTTGCAATGGGCTCGGTTGGATGTGAGGCTTTTGGTTCTGTTTGGCCATGGCTTGCCTGGCTTGCCGCCCTTTTTTCGGGTGTGCGAGTGGCGGGCCTGAGAGGACCCTTCCTACAGCACAGACATTCGTGAAAAAGGCAATGCAGATCTTATGTGTCACCATACATCTAAGGTTGATTAAATGAGATACGTGGAAACCAGCTGTTGCCAGCCAAAAGGATCCTAATTCCATTCACAGGCTCTTGAACAACTGCATTTACATTCGGCCATTGACAACATCACATTGTCCACCAGACAACAAGAAAGCTACCATATTGAGGGAATGTTTAGGTGGGAAATAGAAGAACCCCAGAGACCGGTTTCATTTCACATAGCTGGAACCCACACGTTCGCCAAAGAGCCCAACTCCGTTCAGACCGAAGAACCTGCGGGCCATGATAGTTCACTTTTTCTGAGCGGCTTGGCCCCAACAAGGCCTGAAGCTTATATTTGGCACCAAAAAGGTCTTCTCCAAAAGTTCATAAAGTCCAGCAACTCGGGAATCGAGATGGTGTGTTCTAAGACATGAATTGCTTCCTTTCGGACGCACACATCCCCAAAGCTGCAAGAGAATCGGAGCCCATGGGTTTGAAGACTTGTCTGAATAGAGGGTCCTGAAGAATGACATGTCCTCCTAATACAGGCTCCACTTTAGAAAGTCAAGTTGGTTTTCCAAACTCAAAAGTCGCCAATAATTCCCAAATTAGCAAACTGGACTAGGGGTAGGTGTGAACCAATACCTAGAACTCCCGATTTCTCCTGACCCCAAGTGCCTGATTAGAGAGACCCCGGAAAGCGGCTCTTGGCCGAAAAATCTGTGCACAGAGGACCGAACAGGAAGGAACGCGGAGACCCCGAAAAACAAACGTGTAGCAAGGGAAGGGGGGGGTTCCTGTGAAAACAACCCATATTGGCTTTCAGAAATTGGAGATTGATTGTGAACCTAGCCGTTGCCATGTGTGCCCACCTAAAAAATCCGTCCGCTCCCCGAATGCCACTTCGCCTGAGATCCGATGGATTTGGCGGTGCCCATCGGGACCTCGGCTCCTAAGTCGGGAAATCGCCGGGTGAAAGCTCCCGACTTGTGAGGCCCCGGTGGGACTGCGTTTGCGGGAGCTCCCACTTGAGTCATAGTCAAAACCTGGTATAGCCGCGGACTTGTGGTCTCCACGGCACGGCGTGTCAGGCGTAGGAGGGCGCGAAGAACTGCGGTCATGACCAATTGAACGGGGACTTATAAGCATGGCTTGAACTCACAGCCATGGTTTCTTACCACGTCCCAGAAGTACTGAAGCAGTTGACACTTCAAGTGGGTTGGCTTATCACTTCAACCGGTGATCTCATCAGTGTCAAATTTGGGGTCCCTGAGGGAATGTCCCTGAAATGCCCAACCAAAACCATCTAGGAGATCCAAACTGCTTATTCTCAAATCCACTCAACCGTTTCCTTAATTACTGAAAATCAGCAAGCAAAACTATTTTCCCAGTCGTGTCTCAGGTCACACACCCTGTTAACTGGCAAGTTTATCCCAACTAATAGGAACCCAGGATAACTTATACCCCTGCTTGATTTCAATCGAACTACCTACTCTAACAATACAAAACAGCAACAGTTCAGGGACCGAAAAGACCTTGTTTGGGTGATGAGCCCTGACATCCTGACAACACCATGGAGAGCTTCATTGGCACAGCTCCATGCCCCCTGCTGCCAAATGGTTCCAGGGTTGATCTGATTTGGAACAGGGCTCATACACGTGGTTCCCAAAATGGTTTTCTTTGGGTTTCCCACTTTGAATGCCAATATCTGGGAAAATGACAACACTGCACCCTCCCACAATGCGGGACCCGGGACACCCATAAAAAGGAACATTCCTGTACTCTGCGTGACATCGCACATTTTCGTAGGTAGCTATACTTCGCCCCCCCTCCCCCCCTCTTCCCCCTCCCCCCCCTCTTCCTCTTCCCCTCTTCCCCTCCCCCCCCTCCCCCCCCTCCCCCCGCCCCTGACTCTGGGCGCTCCTTTCTCCGTGAGCTCCGCGTCCAGCATCTCCGGGCGCGGGCGCCGCTTCTGCTCCGGCGACCCGTCCGGCGGGCCTGGGCCGCTTCGACTCCGCGACGGAAAAATCCGGCCAGTGGCCAGCCTGTTGCGCCCCCCCCAAAGCCGCGGAAGTCCCATCCGTGACTTCGTGAGACTGAGTACTTTGTGTGGTGTCCAAGGGGATTCTGTTGGTAGAAGAAAAAACACAGATCCGCAAGACCTAGAAGCGGTTCTTTGGGCCAACCAGCCGTTTGCAAGCTGTCCAAACCATTGCAACCTCCTACAGCAAAGAGGGCAGGTTATGGACCTTCATGGCCCCTAAATGGTCCCTAATCGACACCATGAGTCATGTTGCTTCGACTGCCATGTCTCCCCCTCGCCATGATTCCAAATCAGTATCCGAATTGCGGTTGTCATTCAGTAAAACCAGAGGGTTGTTTCCCTTGGTTTCTCTCCAAAGCCGACAAAGAGGGTACAAAAACAGTTCCAAAAGGGTATGTGTCAAAACTGCAGGACCCAAAAGATGGCGTTTCCTTCTTGGCTTCCCTTTTGATTCCAACCCCAAGACCCCGAAAAAGGTGGTTCCTTCTTGGCTTCCCTTTAAAAACCAACCCCAAGAATTCCCTGAAAAAAAGAAGCCGAGATCACTTCATTCGACTCCAAACCGCCCTAAGGCTCGGGCTGAAGATTCTTCGAAGCCGTTCGCCCTGCTCCGGATCCTGAGGCGATTGTCACTGGATGTGCTCTTCAAAAGCTAATGTTTGTATGTATTATATATAATATATGGTGGCAAGCTTGTCAAAAGGTAGTTGTTGGTTTCTTTTTGGGGGGATATATTTGTGACAACCTGCAGTCATGTGTGTATATAGTATATATATATATATATATATATAATATATACATATACATACAATATGCGACGTGCACAAGCGATATATATATATTTGATGTATACATGTGTAAGCAGTGTATCTTTACGCATGCATGCACTAATGTAGGTATGGAAGTTGTAGATATGGACGTATGCATGCACGCATGCATGCATACTTACATAATATATGTATGTACTGTATGCACGTAGGAATCTATTATGGATGCGTGGATGGATGGATGGATGGATGGCTGGATGGATGGATGGACGGATGCATGCATGCATGCATGCATGCATGTGTGTTTGTTCGTTTATTTGTACGGACGTACGCACTTCATATGTGCAATGTATGCATTGGGACAATTGCGGGACCCCTGGAGTCGAAGAGGTCTGGAGCGGCTGTCTGTCGAAAAAGGCCCCGAAGGTGCTGGTTGAATTAGACTCGCCGGAAATGCGAAAACACAACTTGCTGTGCTGGCCTTGAAATCGGACTACGCGTCATGATTTCTGCTGGAAAATCAGATTAAACCCATCAATCACAAACCCTCCAGTAGCTAACCAGCAATTGCCTTTAAGGATGCTTCCCTACCAACTACGCAGGTAAGAGAAGTTCCGTTTGCAATCCGATCTTGCGGATTTCCTTTGAACAAAGACAGCTTCAACTTCCGAGCAGCGTGCTGTTGCTCAAGCTGAAGCCGTCACGGAAAGCCCAAAGCAAGGAAGGTTCACAGGGAAAACGCTTCGCAGGCCAGGTCCAAGCGCTCTCAAAGCTACTGATCTCGCAGAAGGATTAGCAGATAGCTGAATGCCTCGGGCAATGAGACATGCACAATCCCAATCGGTGCCACATGCTGGCAACAATTGACATCTGTTCACAGGCACGCAGATGCCAACTTCTGGTTCAAAGCTTGAACCGTGCCAAGGTTGGCCTGTTTTGGTGCCCTGCGCCCCTTTGCGGCTTTAAACCTTTTGGGGGGTCCCAAAAAAAACAGAAAAAGACACGCCCGCGTGCATCCTAAACTGGCGCCAATTCTGGTGCCACAGCCCATCCCTGAATGGCCTGTTGCATGGGCAGCTGCAAGTCCAGAGGCAGAACCCCCGCGGCACTCCTGGACATCTGAGATCTGCCACCCCAGCAGGGTCTTGACATGTTCGCTGCTTCGTTTGGGGGGATCGCCACCAGCGGGTGGAGGGCAAATGGTACAAGTCTCTGATGCGTGGAAGGAGCTGCATGTACCTTCCCTTGACTTTGTGAGGGGTACTTGCCGCGAACCAAACCGCACATGAGGTTCGAGACCATGGACGGATGTGTTTTTAGAGGATGCCACGTTTTGGATTGCTTTCAAGGTGCCTCCGCCCTCTAACTTTTCACGCATCGAAGAGGCGTTCCACCTCGGGGGCGCTTTCATTTGATTCGCGCGGAGAAGGCAACTTGAACAGACAAGCTAGAAACGGAACCTAGGTCCTCCAATAGAGAGGTTTCAATAGATGGTACTCAACTTTCTTCTATAGTCTATTTTAGTAGGGGAACCCTCCCCCAAAAAAGGGGAGACTGGGGGACCTAGGAACTGATTCTCTCTAATGAAGCACGAATCCTGTGTTTTGAGCACCAAGACGACATGCATGCAGCCGACTCATAGATCTGCTGAAATGGCTAAAATCCACAGACCGGAAAGGACATCCCCGAGAGATGCACATATAATTCACATATATCACAGTGTGCTTGGTTTATCCGGAGAGCTCGCTACAAATACGCAACACAAATCCGGCTGGCCCATTGCTGAAGTCTGAGATGGCGGCTCAACGACCGGTGCCTTCTCACCTGCGCACTCCAAGCTGGGCTGGGAAGCGGTTGCCGGAAAGCCGCAACATAGCCTGTGGAATGCTGCCGTGCTGTCCCTCGGCTAAGCCAAAGATGCGATTGGACAGTGCACTCACCCGAATTGAACGCCGCTGATGAGGCTTTGAGATATGGGTTTGTCTCAAGACTGGGGGAACTCCAACAAATGGCTGGTGTTCTGTTGGTTTCGCTGTAAAAACAGCAACAAAGGACCTAACAAAAGACACACCTGCACGGGTGTTTGTGTGGGGAACCGGCTGGGATAAGCCTTTAACTGTTCTCATGAGCTATGAGCCCGAAGAGGCTGAACAAGTCCCAAGTCCCATCAATTGGCCTAGAGCTTTGAAAACCTGTACCCTCCAAAACCCTTGTTTTCTGCCATTGACTCAAGAAGCGGCACAAATCCAGAAACGGAAGGAATCCAAAAACAGAAGGAGTCAGCAACGTCCATATGAGCGGCGGCCTTTATTTGTTGCTTCCGCTAATGGAAACAGCTTGCTGGGATCCTCCCTATCTCGTCCATTCATTTTTAGCACTAGGCCGACTTCCTGATCTCGTTTTTCACGCTGTCCTCAATTTCTATACCACCATGTCATACAACTGTTTCCCTATCTCGTTGTTGGGCTCCTCCCTATCTCATAGGCACGTGCGTTTTGCCCAGAAAACTGTTTCCAGTCCCTTACTAGTCTGGATGTGCGCAAACAAAAGCGGGCGCGATGGGCTCCTCATGGGACCATTGAAACCCGGTGATATTTCAACCAAACGGGAACACTTCATGGTCCACTCTGGGTGCCGAAGGCGACTCCCAGAGGCGCCCCCCGCCTTTCTCCAGTCTCTGCGGAACTCCAACGTGTGCCTGGCAAGGGGCAACTGAAGACATCCAGGTTCACAAATCTGGGTTGCTCCATGCCTCCCCCCAGGCAAGAGGTCTAACCTGTTTGTGTGTGTTATTGAAATTAGGTCCAAGCTGTTGGTTAAGCCCAATCTGCTTGTTTGTAGGTACAACCTTTGTAGGTTTTGTTTGTCTATTTGCATTTGGTTCCAGAAGGTCTTGTTGGGGGCGATTTGGTCCCAAAGACCATAAAATGAATATTCCAAACCAGAAACACGACTTCGCGAACAACCCAACCGGGTGAGCTTGCTACAAACATGAGCCACTGAAAAGTACATCTTCACCCGGAGAGTTGGAAAACGCAAAGTACCTAACCTCATGGAAACAGGTCGCTATGAAATCAGAAAGTCAAGGGAACGATTGAGGCAAATCTTCAGCCCCGCAGGGGGCTTCCTTTCTGGAACTGAAGGAAGCAGACTGGGTGAACTCTAGTCACAACAGCTCGACATGTGCAAAAATCTTCCAACAATCCGCTTCCCGCTCCAATTGGTGGTTCGGATTGGTGGTGGTAGGGCTACAGCTTCTCGTTCTCAACAAGATCCAGTTGAAGTCCCCAAGCCAATCCGACCAAGGGTCATCTGCCCTGCGGGTCCTGCTGGATTTTGGGGCTCCATCGCCTCTTTTGAGACCCCAGTTCTGCAACTCGTGTTCGAAAACTCCCGGGTTCATACCAAGCCCTCGGACCCTAGTCGGGTGAAACAGCTCTAAAACCCGAAACCTGAAACCCTGCGTGGTTGCTCATTTGGGTGTGGCTCAAAATTGAAAAAAGCTAGGGTTACGCAGGTTTGAGTCTTTGGTTCCACTTGCCAAGGCGCCATTCTGGTGCCATTTTTGTGAGCCACGGCCATTTCCCCTCAACAAGATCCAGGGGTAGCCACAACTCCCAGCCACCAGGGCTCGGCCTGCGCCAAGAAGTCGATCAAAGCGCAGACCTGATCGCGGGCGGTGCCACGGAACAAAAACCTCAACGGTGTAAACAGATCTCGAATCTAAACATAACAAATACAAACCGTTTCGAGCAAGCACAGATTAATAACGAGCTTCCAGAACGACATGCTACTCTAGCTAGTCTCCCATCTTCAAAGCTTCAGCAATGCAAAACCATCCCCCTCCAGAAATCAAAAAGGGGGGAAACCAACAACGCAAGCAAGGCATCTTCCCACTGGAGGCCCCGCTTCTTTTTTTTGCTTTTGGGTGGTTGAAACTTGGAGAGCCCCCATGTCCCGGCCAAATGAACCATCAAATGAGTGAAGTTCGACCCAATCTCGAAAGAACAAGACCAAACCTCAACTTGTGGTGTGAAGGGACCGCCCAAATAAAACAGGTACTTTTGAGTCTGATTCAATGGCCCATAGGACTATCGGACATTTGACCAAATAGCCACACGCACACATGACTGTCCTGCAGAAGAGGTTGAGTGCGTTCATGAGAACTCGTTTTTCGGGCTGTGTCAACAGCCCCCCACACTGTGGCCCACACCCTTATTCAAATTCGCTTCATTTAAGAGGGTCCAGAAAGTTAGTGTCCCAATCGAGCTTGCAATTTCAAGGTTAGGTAAAGAGTGCCTCTCGGTATCTTCCCGGTGACACACCTCACGTGGAGTCCGACGAGTGCCGGCTCAGGTTCCTGGCCTGATCCCGCAGCTGCGACTGGCCCTTCGAGAGCTCTTCATGGCGCGCAGTCGCCTCCAGCCGAAGCGAGCTGAACCAAAACACCAGGCGTCACGAGAGCGTCCCCGTACTTGGGTGCTGTAGATCCCCGAGCAAAAACCTAAACTTACATGAGGGGAGTCCAACAAGTTTCAAAGTCTAAAGCTCCAACCCAAAACTTCCAAAAAAACTTCCAAAAAAACTTCCAAAAAAACTTCCAAAAAAACTTCAAAAAAAAAACTTCCAAAAAAAAACTTCCAAAAAAAAAATCCCAAAAAAAAACCTCAAAAAAAAAACTTCCAAAAAAACTTCCAAAAAAACTTCAAAAAAAAAACTTCCAAAAAAAAACTTCCAAAAATAAACTCCCAAAAAAAAACCTCCAAAAAAAAACTTCCAAAAAAACTTCCAAAAAAACTTCCAAAAAAACTTCCAAAAAAAAACTTCCAAAAAACAACTTCCAAAAAAAAACTCCCAAAAAAAAACTCCCAAAAAAAACCTCCAAAAAAAAACTTCCAAAAAAACTTCCAAAAAAACTTCCAAAAAAACTTCCAAAAAAAAACTTCCAAAAAAAAACTTCCAAAAAAAACTCCCAAAAAAAAACCTCCAAAAAAAAACCTCCAAAAAAAAACTTCCAAAAAAACTTCCAAAAAAACTTCCAAAAAAACTTCCAAAAAAAAACTTCCAAAAAAAACTTCCAAAAAAAAACTCCCAAAAAAAAACTTCCCTCCAAAAAAAAACTTCCAAAAAAACTTCCAAAAAAAAACTTCCAAAAAAACTTCCAAAAAAACTTCCAAAAAAACTTCCAAAAAAAAACTTCCAAAAAAAAACTCCCAAAAAAAAACTCCCAAAAAAAACCTCCAAAAAAAAACTTCCAAAAAAACTTCCAAAAAAACTTCCAAAAAAACTTCCAAAAAAAAACTTCCAAAAAAAAACTTCCAAAAAAAACTCCCAAAAAAAAACCTCCAAAAAAAAACCTCCAAAAAAAAACTTCCAAAAAAACTTCCAAAAAAACTTCCAAAAAAACTTCCAAAAAAACTTCCAAAAAAAAACTTCCAAAAAAAAACTCCCAAAAAAAAACTCCCAAAAAAAACCTCCAAAAAAAAACTTCCAAAAAAACTTCCAAAAAAACTTCCAAAAAAACTTCCAAAAAAAAACTTCCAAAAAAAAACTTCCAAAAAAAACTCCCAAAAAAAAACCTCCAAAAAAAAACCTCCAAATCAGTGTAGTTCCCCCCCAAAAAAACTTCCAACGGTCCCCCGCGAAACCGGCCAGCCTGTTCCAACATGTTTTCGCCCGCTGGACCGGGATCCACTGCGGAGTGACACCAGCTGAAGGGTTACCTCTAGGCCCTCCAGTAATTAGCGAGGGTTTCAATAGATGGCACCAGGTGGATGACCATCCCTGTTAACCTAGGTCCTCCCGGTCCTCCAGTAGAGAGGTTGGAATAAGTTGGTACTGTTTCTTTTTTTCAGGACGTCGATTTTAGGGGAACCCTCCCCCGAAGGAGAGAGAAGGGCACTGGGGGGCCAAGTACTAGTGCTCACTGGAAGCACTGGGCTTGATTCGTAGACAAGTCAGAACGGGAATCCCTCGTTGGTATCAAGTGGGGGTTCAATACTCCTGGCCCCTAAATAACTATTGGTAACTTTTCCCATTTAGTGGGAAGTATCATCTTCTAGTAGCTTAGTGGTTGTCCAACCAAGTAAAGGACCTGGTTTGTGAGTCATTTGTCCTTCAGGAAACAACACCAAAAGGAAACCACATTCGTCCTGTTTGTGCCATTTATTTATGACGAAACTGCCGCATGTCGGGGGGGGGGGGAGGGGGCCACAGGCCTACATCGCTACATCGATTTTTCCCAACACCGCCGGCCGCGCCTCGTCAAGCTTCCCGCTGGGCATCTGGCGAGAGAGTCGGGTCTAGCCCTCCTAGTGGGCACCACCAAGGCATTCGCAGCCCTTTGGTTTGAACCGGTTTGGACCCTTCATTCATTTTGGACCCTGGGATGGGGAAAACAAAAGAAGTTCCAACAAAAATGGGACCCACCAGAGAAATGACGCCTTTCAGAAGATGACGATCCAGGACCCTCCAGTCATGCTTCATGGTGGGAGGGTAGGATCTCTCCCTTCGCGAGGGTCGGGTGGCTCAAGCTACTTATTTAACCAATGTACCAGCAAAGCGAAGGAAACCCAAAAGCCCAAATCAGGGGCGCGGAAGTGGAATTTTGGCCCCCGGAAAAGGAACACGAAAAACACCCAACAATAATTGTCTGCCCTTGTTTGGTCATTGCTTGGAGGTTCTGAGCAGCCGCGATTGCCAAGCTGTTTTTTCACCTGCGCAGCATCCGCAAAGCGGCCCGCGCGAACCCGAGGCTTGCGTGGCCGCGACGCTGCACTCCTGGCACATGCGCCGAAATTCGGGCTCCGAGTGGCCGACCCAGAGGGTCCAAGTAGCTTCTAAGGATGTACTGAAGGACCCCCTTTGACCCCCCAAAAGCCATCCTCAGAAGGTACCAAGGGACCCTCTGGGCGAGGGTAAGAAACAAGGAATCTGGCACAGGCGGCAATACTTCAAACAGCACCCTTTGATACTGATGGCCAAAATCCACTCCTCACCAGTTGGGATTGGTGGTTTATCCCATGAGTGTTGTCGGCTTTCATGTATCCCAAACGGGGCCGCATTTCGTCCACTCTCAGTAGCACCCCAACATCAACATCCGCGATAACGCCATAAAACGTCCAAAACAAGCTCGGAACCCGCGAGGCAATGTCACCAGCGCGTTTAATAGCAACTGTACTCCCTGCAGCTCCCTTTCCCAGCACCCGAAAATTGATCAGTGCTTGCACAACTGCGCGCCAAATTGGGGCGTCTGGCAACACTATAATCACCCAATCCTCTGCTGGTGTCTTCTTGGGGGTGCTATTTAGCACGATCAGGTGAAACAGCACCACCCCCTTTTGCGCCAGCCGCCATCGAAATTGAATGGCTTGGCCAAACAAGTAGTGCCACTAAAACGGTGTTCCCCAAAAAGTTTAAAGTCTAGCGACTCGGAAGTGAGTTCAAGGGTTGTATAACCCCCTCCAATAAAAAAGCAAAACGGGTCACTGACGGAGGTCTGGGCTGTTGACTCCATACTTTTCTCTGCGTTAAAACGTATCTGCCTGTGTGGCGTTCTTTCTGTCAAAGGGGCCAAGGGTTCAGTCTAGCCAAATTTGCCCCTGTCGCCCGTGAGGCCATCAGGAACCCCCAAATGACGGAAGCGCTCAGTTTGCTTTGGGCGACAGCCACCCCTCCTTTAATCCTCAAAGTTTAAATCAAGGAGGCAGTGTCTTTCTCACCCAACAAACACACCACCCTTTCAATGTTTGGTCTCCTGCAGGGGTATACCGTATACCTCTGCAAAAAAACAACAACAGGGGAACCCCCTGCATCTCATCTTGATTCGCAATGGAATAACTGAGATCCCACCCTGCTTCTTGGATATTATTCAACCTAAGCAAGTAGGTTGTCAACAGGGCTTCCGCATCAAGCCCTATTTACTAAGTAGCTTCGGACATGGGAAGCCGTTGGACCAACCCAAAGCCTTCAATCAGCAGGCCCGACAAAAGCGACTAACTTCTAGTGGGCAAAATGGGAAAACCCAACCACCAAACCAACTCAAATCCAAAACAAGACACCTTTCTGGAACCAGACGGCTGGTTGAGCCGCCAAGCTATTGGGGGGGAGGGTCGTTTTTTTCAGGGGCCCCACCCCACCCCACCCCACCCCACCCAACTTCCTCGTCCGCCGGCCCCGACCCTTTTCGGTCCGGTGAGCCAGGGAGGTGGACGAGGTCCAGTTCCGCAGGCCGCGTCCACGCAGGTCGCCAGGGAGCCGAAGCGGACGTGACGCTTCACCAGGCCTGGCAGTTGCAAGACCATTGGAGCCACTTGGGGGGTGATCCGTTTGGGTTTAAGCCTTCCTTGTAGTAAAAATGGGCAGTCCTGTTGGGGGCGCTGGATCAACATGGGGGTTGATCCAACACTAGGTCCTCCAGCAGAGAGGATAGAATAAGGGCACCGCTTCTTTTTTTTTCTGCAGTCTATTTTAGTAGGGAAACCCTCCCCCAACCAAAAAAGGGGTGAGAAAGGGCACTACTGCTTGGTTGCTGTTGACCCCCCTGCAAAAAGTTTAACTTTTTTGGGGTTTAGTGGAAAACTGGAAAACACCTTGATTTTCCAAAAAGTTAAAGTCTAAAGATCCAACCCAATAGCAGTCAAGACTGGGGGACCTAGCAAAGGTCCGATAAGCCTGGGATCACCACTGGGGAAAACCACTTTTGTCATTGGATCTATGGCGCCGGATGATTGGACTAAGCCATTCCCCGAAACTCAGAAGCAGGAGAACCCCTGGGTTTAAGTCTTCCTTGCAGTCAACAAGTGGTACTCCTGTTGGGGCGTGTGTCTCAAGATAGGGGGACCAACCAAACATGGCAAGGGTTTCCATTCTGGCCCTTGAAAACCCACCCTGGAAAAAGGATCCAGTTGGGTATGCATGGGTCAAAATTTAACCACCAGGATGCGGACAGCAGGTTGTAGTCCTTTCCATTTACCAGGGCACGCCATTTTGGGTATCTAGTTTTTGCCCATACCCATTTAAGGTTGATCAAAAAGGTCCAGTAAACAAAAAAAGGTCCGAAAAAAAACATGGGATGACCATTGGTTGGACAACCCCGAACAAGATGTGATATTTCCACATGGGAAAAGTTAGCCTTGGTCATTTGGCGGCCAGGGATATTGATCAACCCCCATTTGGGCGTGTGTCTCAAGATAGGGGAACCAACCAAAAATAGAAAGGGTTCTCTTTTGGTTTCCCACACCCACTTACCTGTATGATACAGGTAACCAAGGGGCTGCTCACCTAAGACCAAAAGCGAAAGGGATTCATGGGATACTTATTATAGGGCTTGTCTAGGATCCTCGGGTGATAACTTGTTGTCCAGGTTATTTCTGAGGTTGAAGATTGCTAGACTTCGCCGCAAATGACCATGGAACCTAAAACACAAGATCCATTGTGTAGAGGAATCTGCTTTTGGACATGGACTTGTTTGGGGTCCATGTTTAACAGGGCCGATTCCCCCAAAATTGCGCTTTTGGGAATGTGGACATCTCAGTCGGGAAAATGGGGGCCCCCCCCTTCCGTGCGCCCGGATCGACTGCTATGCTCGAGGCTTCGAAATCGGCCGATTTTTTTTGTTGGAAAGCCACTCAGAGAACCCCTTCGGGTGTCAGGAATGAACCGGTTTTGGTTGGATCCCCGAATGACGGAAAGATCGGGGATGGTTTGTTTGGGGCCCCGATTGTACGTAAACGCGCGCTCAACGCGCGGCTACCCCCACTGGAATATCGCATTCATGCTCGTTTTTATACACGTTTTCATAGGGTTTGCTGCCAGAGGCCCAGGGGGGGTTTGTTGCGGGGGGGGGGTTCGGGGGGCGGGGGGGGTTCGGGTTTGGGGGGGTTTCGGGGGGGTTCGGGGGGTGTTATAATACCGTTCAGGACAACTTGCGTGTTTGCATGCGCCATGTTGACCTGAGTTCAAGATCGCTTGACATAAAGGGTTCTTACACATGATCAGCATGCAAACAGCGAATCACGCTGTTTGATTTCAAAAAGTCCTTGCATCAAGTGCACCATGGCTTGTTTCGTCCGTGGGCTGGAACTGCACTGGGCAATTATGCCCAGTTCGTGATGCAGCTGCCGGGTCAATGAGTGGTGCCCACTCACCGAGATTCATCAAGCCGCATCCGTGCTGGCTTGCACAGCCAATATCTCTGAAGAACATTTAGGCAGCTTGGCCTCGTTGAACGTGATCGAATTCAAAACTCATGTTCGCATTCCGCTGAGCTCATGCGCTCTCGCGCCAGTGACGCCGCTAACTAAGCCCATACCCGCTGCTTGTCCGTTAGAAAGATTTTTCCTTGCTGTGCGATGTTAGACTGCCGCTTAATGTAAACGGCCCTGCCCACCTAGTGGACTTGCTTAAGCGCCGCGAGGCGGTGGGCAGGGACCATGTTTTCGGGGAACCCCCTAATAATAATGGTCCCACGCGGTGATGATAGGCGAGAGAATGTTGCTGCCGTGCCATGTGTTGAAATAGCTTGAACATGTGTGTTGGCCGTGCAGGATTATTAATCTTTTTTGTGTGTTGGCCATGGACGCTCATGTAGATCAGTTGTCGGCCATGCGCTTGCTGGAAGCACCTGGTCTCCAGAACTTGCTTGAAGCCTGCGCCTTGCTGCGGAAATCTAGGTGCAGCAAGTTAGGCTGTGCTCCGAAACGCTACATGGACCTAAGCCAAGACAAAGCCTGGCTATGGGATTAGGTATGAAAACGGGGGTGAAAAAGACCATGGCGGCTGCCTGCCAAGGGGATTCACACATCCTGGGGCGCGCGTTTACGGCCAATCGGCGCGTTGTTTGGGGGTCATCTGCTGAGCACCAGCAAGATACTGCAGGAATTGGTCACTCTAGGGGTTGATTCCCCATTCTTTTCAACCATCGTTCTTTTCGCAAGACAGCCGTTTTCCCTGGGTTTCCGGAGGTTTTCTAGAAAGAAGGAATCCTGGAAAGACTGGAGTCACCGGAGTTCCCCAAATCAAAAGCTGGTCAACTTAGTGGTGGAAGTCCATTGAACCGCTCGCCACGAGATGGAGGTGCCAACAAGGGAAATGGCTCGGAACCCCTGTACTAAGGGGAGCCCTTTGGTATCCCACGGTCAAGGATTTGCCAAACTCACAGAAGTTCATGACGAGGTTCCCATGGACCGCTCCACTGGGACGTGTCTGATGGATTCCCATGCTCGTTTGCGCCGGCCATGCCTGGGGCATAGTGGGCGTACTTGGCGGAGTTGGTGATGAGGCTCCTTGCAAGTCTGAAGTATGACTCAGGATGGAGAGAATATCATAGAAGGTCGCATTCTTCTCTACGGTGATTCCACAAATAGGGGATCCTAACATCTTCTGGGCTTTCGTTTCGAGCCCGTCCAAAGTACTTGTCCCAAGGAAATCATGGAGTCATGTTGGGCTACCCACCATCCAGCGAGCCAATATCTAGTCTTCGAGCAAGCTAGCCGGGGTAACACATAGAATTAGTCTCAGGCCAACATCGAAGCTCCCAGAAAATCTTAGGAAATCGACTTCTTCCTTGAATGGATACCTGTGAATTGTCACATTGGCCTGAGCATGCGTCTGGGTGTCGAGAAGCCCTTTTTCAAAGTCAACTCAAATTTGAGCCGTCATGGCAACATCTACCTATGCTTACACTCGTGTCGAACAACAAAATATGGTGTTCCTTGAAAGGAGGCCAAACCACTTTGGACCACATGTGAAACTTCTCGAAAAGGGCTGTTTGTGCACCCAAGCCCTGTTACATGCAGGCAGGACCGTTTCCACAAGCATCAACTCCTGCGTTTATCCCTTTTCATTCAGGGAAGGCGTCATGGTCCGGTAGTTCATTGCTTAACTTTGCAACCCAAAGTGAGGCTGGTTGCAATAAACAATTCCTTAAGGTCTGGCTTGGCTTCTGTGCTCTGATTGCTCAAGCATTCAAATATCACTTTTAAGGGTTGCACACAGCACACCCAGTGTGAATTTACTAACTCCGACCCTCCCAAAAAAGTTCAAAAATGCCGGACACATAAAAGCAACCAAAACTCGTTTAATCTCAGCTTCCGCGCAACAGAACACCTAACACAGGGGGGTCCGTTTGAAAAAAAAAAGAGGCCGCTGTCACCAAAGTGAGTTGGCCCAAACAAAAGTAGAAGCATTGCCAAAAATGGTCCAGACCCAAAAGGAAGCTCTTGTTTGCTGTGGGGGAGGGGTTAATTGCTTCTTGGCCCTGTTTCAAGCCTGTCCCAAAAGGTGCGGAGCTTGCCAGGGTCAAGCGTCAAGAAAAAGACTCATCCCACATTTGCTCCAAAGGGCTGGAGGCGGAAAACAAAAAAGATAAAATGGAGCTAGATCCAGTATAATGTATATATTTCATGGCTTGCTTCATGAGCCGCTGAAATGTCAAAATGTCTCCTACGTCTACCCCAGGGACCCGTTTCCCAACTCCGCGCCCTGTGTAACGTGGATCGACCCTCCTGGCGCTGGGTGGCAGCACCGTTTTCGGCGCCGGCACCACCTCAGAGCCAGGGGCCCGTGGTCTCCCCTTTTTTAGATTGGGCCCCAAGGAAAACACCATATTTAGACTGGGAAACCAGCTTTTTTGAAGACAGGGCTCATGGGATTCCCCATTTTTTTAAACTGGGACAACAGCTCTTTTTTGGACAGGGCTCATGGGTTTTCTCTTTTGGCTGGGAAAGGGGGAAACCAGCTCATCCCCGAAAGTGGTAGCAGCAGCAGCTAAGCCGACAGGTGAAAAGGAACACCGAACCCCAAATTTTGGTGCTTCCCCGAGAATTGACGCATACAGATCTGGGGTGTGTATTTTGGTGTTCCACTAAGCGGACTCCGTGTAATTGGATACATGGGACAGGGGACACAGCTCTGATACACGGGCTCCTAGGCTACCCATGTACCACAGCTTCTTTTTTTTCACGGGATGCAACACCCCATACAATACATTTAGGATTCTTTGGATCCAGTGACCTTTTTGGTAGGTTTACATGATGCTTTCCTTTGGACATGGAACCGGACAAAGAATCCAGGAAAGCCAGTTTTTGGTAGGTCGGCTTTTGCATGATGCTTGTCTTTGCTCACTTGGCCCATCCTGGGCTACATGGGGCCATGATTGTGGAAGGTCTTTCTCGATACCAGAGCGGGGATTCCCGCAGCATCGCAGAAAGCGGCAGCCTCAAAGCCATAGGTTCCACAACTGTGCATCGAGGTGTCCGAAAATTGGGGGACTTTGGGGTTGGTGTCAATTTTTGGCAAGAGGGGTATAATCAGCAAGCCTTTTGGGTTAACCCTGGATTTTCATGTTGGCTTGCCAAGCCCAAAGGGGGCTTCCCAAAAACGAGAAAACATGAGACCCCTTTCGTTCTCAGGAGTACGCTGGAACTGAACCATCCCTTGTGTTTTCCTTTCAGTGGATCGATCCTCAACGGTTTCCCAGAACTCTGGGTGATTCCGTAGTCAAAAAACCCGCCCTGTTGAAACATTCTCGCATCTCCAGCATTGGTCTCTGGTCACGAACGACCCTTTCAACCTCCTATCTCCCTTGGGTGGGTCAGGGCACATTGGATGCCTGGGCCGGGCCTTGCAACTCGTGATCTGGGAAGGCCTCCTCTAAATGCTTGGCGCCCAGACTTCACTTCCCCGGGTGATTGTGGCTCAACTGTTCCCTGGTTCTGATGGAAACCCAAAGGGCTACCATTAGGTCTACCTCAGCTTTTGTCCACGATGGCGAAACAACATATGTTTGATTCTGGTCCGTATTTCGTGCAGCAACTTCTCAAAGAATCCGGAACTGGACGGAAACAACCAAACCTGGAGGTGTGTGTTGCGACACGTGGCATGTTGGGGGAGATTGGGGCGTGGTAGGAGCTTGGGCCAAAACTACTGCCCCAACAGTTGTCAAAGCAAGGGATCCCCAAGTACACCTTAATTTTGGTGAGCTTAATTTACTTCCAGGTGAGGATATATACTTCAAACACCATCTCAAAGAAGGCCCCCGAACTGAGAACATCACCCGGGTACTGCCCTACCGCCTCCACATTTCAACTGGGGCCCATGCCTCCCCGAGCATGCACCAGCAGGTGTCACTCACCTCATTGGCAACCGGCAACCGGAGACCATGAGACCCGTGGAGACAAAAGATTCCTCACCTGGCTGTGGGTCAAAAAACGGTACCCAAAACGGAACCCTGGTAAATAGAACCAATGACTAAAACCTGCGGTCCCCTGGTCATTTAATTTTGACCCAAAATACCCACCTTTTGAAGGGCTTCCTCCCTTAAAACACCAAGATAAACAAAGGAATTGCCTCCTTCGGACAATGTTCGAGGGGCGCCCCGTTCAAAAAACCAAACGGAAAGAAGAGCACCAGTAAATGTCTGAACGCTTTTCGGACGGCGCCTGCTTGGGCCATGGGCCTTCTGATCCCACTTGTTGGGATTGTGCGAGTTGCGCCTGCTAGCCAACTGGGCAGGCACGGCCCAAACACTGCAGGCATGCTTTCTTGGTTGACGTTGGAAGGGGAGCAAAAATCAAATTTTAGCAGTTAAGTGTGGATTTCAACAACTAAAACCACAATAATCAAAAATGCAAAATGTTTCTCAACAACTGCCATGATTTTGTGCATGGAAGTCTTGAAGACACGAGTTGATCCATGCGCAACTTGCTCCACTCGTGTCGCTCTTTGAGTCCGAAGTCCCGCGAGGGTTTCGTGCTGGGCCCCAAAACATCAGGTTGCACCACAGGCCTGTTGCACGCGGAATGACAGGCCTCAAACTCCCAAAAATCCGGGCCCTACCTCCCACAGTGGAAATGACGGCCTCAGGCTCCTCGCAAATGCAACAGAAGGAGAAACAAAAACAAATGCCCATCACAAGGAACACTTGGGGTGAGGTCCACTTCAAGTCCGGATCATGATTGCACTTCATTTGTACGCTTGCTAGACCTGCACTCAAATGTCTGCTTGACTTTCAGTCTGCAAAGAGTGACATGATGTGAAATGTATCCTAAATGTGTCGCACAAGCTCCTATGTTTTGAGCAACCCTACTTAAAGCTTGTTGATTTCCCCCAAGGCAGCCAGAATTCCGAGCTTTCGCCAACCGAAGTGCTTTTGAAAAACACAAGTGGGTGCGTCGGTTTTCAGGTTGGACCCCAAAAAATAGCACCGGTGTCCTTTTGGTTTTCTCTCAAAACCAACCGTGTGGTGGAAGCTGCAGCCCCTTAAAACCAAGCAAAAGAGGGTTTCCCCGAAACAAAGACGAGCCACCCAAATGTGTCTGTACCCCTGTTTGTTGTGGTTTTGAAAGGGGCCACGAACAAACAAACACATACATAAAAAGTAAACAAAACATGAATGAATAAATAAATGAACAAACAACACGTTACATATGTGTATATATATATATATATATATATATACGTATATAGATATATGTATATTTGGTGGCGCGGGGCCCAACCTTCAAAAAAAACAACAGCACCCAACTGGACCCCCCCCCCCGAAACGAGATCGAAGCGATCGAAGCAAGGCGCGAGCTGCACCCCAAAGGCTTCCAACTTGGAAGCGTAGCCCTCAGCCCGCGATGCCGCCAGCACCTCGCCGCTCGCGCGATATTTCCTGCCCCTTGGTTTTTGACGGGACCAGGAGTTTGGGTTAGGGACGTGGCAGTAAACCCTTATATCCTGAGGCACCCAACGTGCCTTTTTTTAGGTACGAGAAACAAATGCTCGAAATACCGATTTCTGCTCGACCCCCCAAAAAGCGCTCGCCCCCGAAAAACGCTCGACCAAATCCCCTTCTTCCATCCAGAGGAAGGCGGGCATTGTTACGTTTTTAAAATTTGCACTTGTTTGCGGATATTTGCGCTCGTTTTGCGGATATTTGCGCTCGTTTTGCACTTCCATTTCTGCTCGCTCCTTTCGGAAATTCAACGACTGATCATCTTGGAGGACCGACCAGCCCGGTTTTGGGAAAAACGCTCGAAGCAGGAAAAAGTGTACGTTTACCATATTTTGGTAACCACACCTGGTTTTGCAATACGTTTGGGCTAAGGGCAGAAACTCAGGTAACGAAGGGTGCTCCAGGATATTATCAAAATTGGTGGTCGATTTCCTGCCCCGCCAATGAATTGGACTGTTTTGAAGGAATGAAGGGAGAAAAGAAGCTCTGGCTGGGGACATGGTAGTAGACCCTTGTATAATTGGTTTGGATTGGTGGCTCGGGGATTTGAACCCCTTCGTTTGGAAGGGACACCAAGGGGAAACCAAGACCTACGCAAGTGTCATGTTTCTAGTCAAGGAACATGGACACATTAGGGAATCGCACACTCGCTCGTGTTGAAAAATGGGAAGGTGTCAATCAAAACCAAGAATCCTTTTGCAAGCCATTGTCGCAGCATGATTACTCAGCCATTGGCGATTCCTCCCGGACCACCTACTTGGCAAAAGTAGATGGGACAAGCATTCTTCTGTCAGCAAGCAAGGGAATGACGAAACCAAAATGGGAGAATTGCGCCATCTACTTTTCACCCAACTGTTATGCACCCTCTTCAGGGTACCATTATAAGTGGACAACACACGGGATCCAGCTTGCACCAAAAGACAATCATGCGGTTTCTCGCATCCGAAATGAACCCCTTCTTCCATTCGCTTAAGCCCCTAGAGGCAATAACATGTGTTCAGTAGTAATAAATTCCCTTTCAACCCAAAAGGGGAAAACAGATTCTTAAGCAAACGGAACCCCCTTGTCGTCGAACCCAACGGGCCACCCAATCTGCCGACCAAACTCCATGCGCACCTGCGGCCCGGCGGTCACTGCCACCGTCACGCGGGGATCCTTGCGCCGGTTTTCGCAGAGCGCAGCGAGGCCTCGGCGCCGCGAAGTCACAGCTCCATCCAAGAATTCCATGCGCAGTAGCAGTAGCAGTAGCAGCAGCAGCAGCAGCAGCAGTTCTGGCAGAAGTAGTAGTCTTGTTAGTAGTAGCAGTAGTAGTAGTAGTTGTGGTGGTGGTGGTAGTAGTACTAGAAGTAGTAGTAGTAGTAGTAGTAGTAGTAGTAGTAGTAGTAGTAGTAGTAGTAGTGGTATTGGAGTGGAAGTAGTAGTAGCAGCAGCAGCAGTAGCAGAGCAGCAGCACTAGTCGCAGTGGCAGTAGCAGTAGCAGTAGTAGCAGTAGTAGTAGTAGTGGTAGTAGTAGTTAGTGGCAGGGGTGGGAAGAATTACTAGCAGTAGTGGGCAGGACACGAAGCACAAATTAGGTTGTCGGATCTTCACCATATGCTTCCTGATCACATATAGGTTGATGCTCTCATCCCAAAGGCCGCAGATTGCGATAGCGCAAGAAAACAGTTACAGCAGGATATTATACGATTGACATTGGTGGCCGCTGCTTAGAGTTCCGGGTTCGATGGTTTTTAGACGGCACCATACCACCACCATCATCATCTTGGTAGAAACGATGTGCAATGTACAATGTTCAAACCTCAATTGGGACATGCCTCCAAGCAAAAACAGCTTCAGAACCCTGGATTCAACACCAAGGTTTATTCATAGGGTGGCCCCCCTCCAAGTGGTCTGAATTCAACCACCTGAAAGGGAGACACCCCCCTCCCTCGCGCGGCTCGGGCTCGTCTCTGGGGAAAAATTGCGGGACCCAGCGGCGAGCGAACTCAGCCAGCGAGAAGTGCGGATTGCCCAGGGCCACCAGATCCACTTGCGAGATCTCATCGGCGTCCTGGAAGGACTTGGTTGCTGCAACGACCCCCCTGCAAAAAGTGTACATCTTTTTGGGGGTTTAGTGGAAAACACCTTTATTTTCCAAAAAGTTAAAGTCTAAAGATCCAACCCAATAGCAGTCAAGAGAAGAGCGGAGACGAGTCCGGGCCCATGTTCATGGCTGGAAAGACTCGGCCTCCACATTCGCGTTTGCGTCACCGCTACCCCAATGGCAATAGAATGGGAGAGTAGCGTCTAGCCTATGGAGTCTATATCTTTATATGTATATAGAAGCCATGCGGGGGTGAATAATTCAATGGGGCAACCGGAAGGAACGAAACCTGGATAGGCCCATTGGTTTCAGACACCATGTCCACGCCCCCAAAACGTGGATGGGTGCACAAGCCCCTCTGCAAAGGAATCCTTCGCTCTTGCAGGCTTGCTTTGTGAGCGCAACGACGGACAGAACCAATGGAGATATAAATACGTATATACAAGCAAAATCACAAGCAAGCCAAGACATGAATAAATGAATCAAACTAAATGAATCAAACTAAATGAGTCAACACATAAATGCCCAAATAGACCATGAATAGACCGACAAATCAATACGTGACAACACCATCTATGCCCTGCGAGAGGCTCGCAGCCGAGCGCTGAGTGCCGCGCCAGCGTCTGCCAGACTTCTGCCAAGTCTTGGTCCGTGAGCTCCACTTCCTGGACCGAGCGTTCCGAAGATCATTGGTTCGAATGTTAACCCCGGAAGTTAAACCCCTGGTTGATTTTGATGGGGAGGTGTCCCCTTTTAGTGGTTGGATTCAGACCACTTTGGGAGGGGTTGGAGGGAACACCACCCCTAATGGGACGGGTCTACTTAGATCCAGGGTCAACATTATTGGTAGACATTCGGCTTCTGGTGCAGGGAAACCAAAGGAATTTTGCCAACCAATTTGATGCCTATGTATGGACGTGTGTGACTTTTTGTGAGGCACCCCACAAAAAAGGTGGTTGTCCTTGCTTGGTGTCCCTTTAAAATTAAACCGTGCAAAAAAGAAAGGGCCCCCTCAAAAAAAGACAGACACACAAAATATGTATGTATATAACATCATGTTAGGAGCAGCTCGGAGCATCCCTGAGCATCTTTCAAAACATCAGACCACTCCTTCGGTGTCTCTCTCTCTCTCTCTCTTGCCCCCGTGGAAAGAACCGTTCCTTTTCGAGGTAGCAACCCGACTCTTTACGTTTGAGGGCTTCCTTAAAGAGAGACGTGCGGAAGGATGATCCTGCGCCAAGTGGCCTTGGGAAAGGGGTCACTTTCTTGTGCAACCGAGGCCACTAGACACGTTGAGTGGTGGTGTCTCCTTGCCGCTGGTTCCAGAAGGGAAATTGGTGCGGCTTGCCTTCCGCACACGAGCTGGCGCTTCAAGCGATGGACTCAACGCCAGCTTGAGAGGCGCTTCAAGGATGCCAAGGATGTCATCTTACGGAAGAATGTGCGTCTATCCTAGTGCTTCCAGTTACCACTGCAGGCAGCAAGGGAAACCATCTTGTAAAATCTACTGGTAAGGAACCCTGACTACTATAGTAACACCTGGTAACACTGGGCATGACGAACACAGTTGATGACGGATGCGTTAAGAAAGACGCGCTCAGAATTAACAGGCCGGGATGGAATCACAATGAGCCGGCATCCACGTTGCAAAATACGCTGCATGCGAAATACTGAACTGCATGGTACAACAGCTGGCAACATCTGCATGACTTGGCTCAAATGAGCCACGCCCAAACAGATTCAAATCTGGCCCTTCAATATGAGTGTAAAGGTTGGTGTGTATCGTTTGAGATCTGCCATGTTCACCTTGCCTTGAATGGAAGCCAAAAGGGAAACCACCTTTCGGCGTCCCCCAAATTCGACACACACACACACACACCAGCCCAAACACGCATGTAGGGCCTTCCTATGAGAGTGCCCCTGAATTAGCGAACCAAATGGGTGGCCTCGACCTCATCATCGCAGGCGCTCTGCAAATCTGGGGCCTGGCAGCATATCGCAGCTTCAACCAAACTGAACTGAAAGGCCACCTAGGGTATGACTTTTCAAATAGAGGACCTCCTTGGTGGACACTTTTGAGTTAGTCCCCTTTTGAAATTCAAAGCGTTTGACCTTGGTCTATCCTTGAGGGGCTCCTTTTGTTCTGAGAGGGGCGTTCCGAAAGCTACTGGGTTGTTCTTCCCCCCGAGCAAAAGGTCTAACTTTAGGCGGGTTGAATGGGCAAATGTGTTTCCAAAGCTCTGGGCCTTTGGGGTCAAGATCAATCGTTATGCGAGGGTCATCCGACCATTTTGAAGGTGCCCCTTCTTTCGGCAATGCTCACCGTGTCCCCAAGAATTGAAGGATCCCACCAGAAATTTTCGGGATCCAAGCCCAAAGTCATCAACCAGAAAATTGCTCCCCGGACCCGACCCACCCCATCCCAAACCCAACCACCCAACCCCGGTCCCACCCACACCCCAACCCAACCCTCCCATTGAACTCAAAGGTGTCCTTCTCTGGAGCCAAGCAGTTCCTCACGATGATATCAGTTGCCAGTCCCTCGAAAGGAAGAAAAACGAATCTGGGCTATGCTGCACACGAACAACGCGGAAAACGACACTCGGTCCTCTAGTAGAGAAGTCAGAATAAGGGTACCGTGTCTTTTTTCTGTAGTCTATTTAGCAGGGGAACCCTCCCCCCAAAAAAGGGTAAAAGGGCACTACTGGGGGACCTAGGATAGGGGCATTGTAGTCCGTCAAACCGCTGCAACGATTCTTGTTTGGGCAGGAGGGCCCAAATATTGCTCCATGGCACACTCCCATGTTTCCCAGGTGCATGTATCCTTGATCATCCGGATGCATCCCTGCTCCTCCCAAATCGGTTCATCTAAGGGGCTAAATGATCCCGCACCGCCCTATCATCTCCTTTCCTGTTGCCACTAAAATACTAAACGGTCTATCTCTTTTTTTGTTACTAAGATGGTTTAAGTTTTAAAACGTAACTTAAAGTCCACGACTTCCAGCGAATCCGCTCCGTCCGTCCCCAAAACACTCCGATTCCTCAGGGGTGACGCCCACCATGTGGAACATCGCGGCGGAGGAGCTGGTGCCAAAGGCCGCGCTGAACGCCTCAAGCGCTGGCCCCGGTGCGAAAACCGCGGCCCCCAAATGGCAACGGGTTGCCTTCAAGGCACGGTGAACAGGATACCCTCAACAATCAAACACACGCGCGCAACTCCATGTTATCATTGTCTCGTTTTAGCAAAATCAGATGTCCAAGGTGTTGTTGGGTTCTTGTTTCCCTAAAACCAACTACCTTAAAAAACCAGTTCAAGCTGTTTGTTCGCCACCAACCTCGTCCGATAAAAGTGGCTCAAGTCCGGGGACTTGAGCGGATCTTGGGAGCCCCCGGTCCAAGAAGTGACCCTGAGTTTGGCATGCAAGTCATTGGCAAAACCGAGGGAACACAGAACCCACCTCCCACCCCGGCTTGTACTATGCCTCCCCCGCTTTTTGGGGATTCACTTAGAGTCTGAGGCTCTTTCGCCCAAGTCTCCGGCATTGGCTTTTCAAAGCCCGGTAGATGCAAAATCCTTACCTACCGTAGTGCCAAGGAGCCTTAGAACCTGGTTTACAGCACCAACGCTGCAACATCAATCCCCGCAACCAACCCTTCGCCCCTTCCCCAAATCGCACCCCAACCCACACCCTGCTCTCAACCCCCGCAAACGGCCTTGAGGTCATCCCTCGTCGGTAACGCCACGTTCTCCAGGCCCACAATGGCCGGCACCCGACGCGGGCTCTTCAGGCCGCACAAATAGCCCAGCGTGGGCCAAAAGGCGTCGTCCACTCGGCCTTACGGAGTCATTCCGGTACGGTGCGTGCTTCTCCGTTGGGGGCATTTATTGGACACAAACAATAGCCAACAGAGCAGATTGGACAAGAGTTGATCAGATTGGGTTAGATAAGATAGATTAGATACGTTAGATCTGGGCGGTAAGGCCCCAGGGGCGCCCCTGCCTACGTGACTCCAACCATCCGAGCCCGCTCCCAGAAGCTGCCCTCCGTTGGCCATTGAAAGCTTCGAGAAAAAAAAAAAGAACGCCGCGCGGTGAAATGCGTCGAGCTGTGTCTTCCATCTAAATAAAGAGAAGTTACACTTCCTTCCTAGGCCCAGGGAGTTGATTCAGGGCTCCCTATATTTCCCCTTAACACATCAGCCTTCACCAAGGGATACTCACCTTTCACGGGCCAAACATTTAAAAACGGTGATGTTTAAAGCAACCAACAAGGGAAATATAGGGAACCCTGATTCATACGCAAGGGGTGACCCACCCTTTGCGGCAAAATCTCGGCGCGCGGCTCAGGCAGGTGCTCTCGAAGTTGAGTCGTAGCACCACCTCATGCGACGCGTCGAAGCAAGCGGAAAGAACGCGTTGGACGGGGAGGCAAAGGGGTTGCCAAATGGAACAAACAGGGGAACCTACGGGGAACCAACCGAGGAAGCAAAGGGGAACAGGCGTTTACTGGTCTGGAAAAAATGAGCCAGACATTCGCCCTTGAACAACTAGAAAGGACAACGGTTCCAACTTCAAACAAAGGCAGAATAAAGGAAGTTACATGCGTGCTTCTAAAAAAAAAACGGTTTCTACTAAAAGAAATAAGACAAACACATATGTTCTTTCAAAAAGAAAACAACAAAATAAACACAGGTGTTTTTTGTCGAAAAAAAAGAGAAGACTTCAAGCCACCCAAGAAAAAATCCCCCCCGGCCGCGGGGCTCGGTTCGGTTTTTTCTTCATTTCGCCTCGCCTGGGCCTTGCGCTGGGCGTCCAGGTGGCAGCCGGCCTCGGGGGCGCGGCCGGAGATGGCCACCATGGCGTCCAAAAAGTCCGCGTACTTCTGGGTGCCTTAGGCGCCAGAAGTTGGTGGGTGGGGTGGGGGTTGGGTTGGTTGGTGGGGGGGGAGGGGGGTGGGGTGGTTGGGGAAGGGGTGGAGGGGGGAGGGATTGGGGGGGGGGATTGGGGGGGGGATTGGGGGGGGGTTGGGGGACAGGGGCTGTGTAGACCTGAAAAAGGGCTCAAATATGGACTTTTTTGGAGGATCTTCCTGAGACCCTCTGGTGGGTCTTATGTTAGTGGAGGAGAATCGAACAGTAAGCTTCTAAAACGTAAAGGATAACCAGGAAGTTTCGTTTTCAGCTTCAAAAAGGGTGGTGGTGCTTTGGGTGCCCGCGGTGGCGGGGGGACGGGGTGAAGGGGGGTGGGAAGGTGGGAGGGTCTGAGCAAAGACCTGACAGAGACCTATGCCTCAGAGCCTTCCAACGCGCACTCTCGCAAGGAGGTCGCGTCCAAGGCGTTCGTGCCAAAATAACCCTAAGTTTCCAAGCTGGAATCATGTGTTTACCCTCCATTCCACCTTTTTTGGTTGCTGCCTCGGAGAGAGGTGGGGTTGGCAGTTGGCGTAGGGAAGGGCTACGCAGCATCGTTCCCCAGATGGCTTTAGCAAGAGTTCTTTCTTCTCCCATGCTAGGGGTCTGTGCTGGTGCATTTCTTTTCCACGCCACCTCTTTGACATCTTTTACCTTGGGCCAAGCAAGTGACCTCTCAGGAAATGAAGGGAGCTCACAGCACACCCTTGGGTTCCCATACCAAGGCCGAAGATACCTGGACCCTCAAACTACCCATGTGTCTTGGAGCCCAGGGAAAAGACTATTTTTACTTCAGGCTGGGAGAGATGAATCAGGTTCAAGTCGACGGGGTGAAAACTGGGTACTAGTCAGGTCTGGAAAAATGAACACGTCATCCATTTCCTCTTGCTTTCCATTTTCTCGTGCTTCCAGTTGCTGCTATCCTATGGGTTACCAGCAAAAATCATCACATAAGGCCAGACCTTCTATAGGGGCCAAATGCATGAAAGCAATGGGTTGGGGTAAATCATTTCTTAATGGGTGTGTGTGTGTGTCACAATAGGATCTAGACACCTCAACATGGTGGTGTCCTTTTGGTTTCCTTTTCAAACCACCCCGAAAAGGGTAGTGTGAATTTTTAGGGACCCTTTGGTGGACATCATCTGCAATCCTGACAAGGGGGTCCTGGAAGACCACGTTCCTTTAAAAGGGACCCCTGTCAGGTTCCATGATAATTGGTGGGAGGGTCGGGAATTCATGTCCACCAACCACTTTTGAGGTGGTGTTTCATGGAAGCTCATAGCTTTTATGAACCTCTGTCACAACCACTCACTTCCTGAGTGGCTTCGCCCAAAAAGCCCCAACTTTTTGTCTACCACCAAAATGGTCCAACCCCCCAAAGTGATCAAAGTCCGAGTTACGGAACTCATTCCAAGTTGAGAACACACCCACCAGGCGCCACCCGCCCAAAACCAAACCAAACAAAAAAAAAAAAAAAACATTAAAAAAAAAAAAAGAAAAACAAAAAAAAACACAACGAAAAGACAAACGCCAGCGGCACCGAGATCGATCGACCGATCCCTCCGCCGCAGCGCGCAAATTTCGCGCGGCCGCGCGGCGGGCGCCCAGCACGGAGTTGGCGAAGACCACGGCGTTGGACTCTCCCCAGCCGATTTGCTCGCCGAAGCGAGGGGCCGAGTCCAGCAAGTAGGGCGCGCAAGTGAAGCCTGGAGGCGAGGACAAGCAGGAGTTCCAATGCAGCGAAAAAACGGGGAAGTGGATGGGGTGGAATTGGCTCTTGTGCAATCTAAGGAAAACCGGCCACAACAAGGGAACATCCACTGGACTTGTTGGCCTTCTAGAGGGGATCAACTTGTTTTTGGTGGGTGTTGGGCGAATGCCCATGGGAAAGAAGGTGCGAACCTAAGAAACCAGCGAAGCAGGAAATTCTATAGGAACGCTGCAGCATGCTGCATCGTTTTTGGTGGATACTAGGAAATCCAAGTTCCTGCTAAAAATCCTGTGGCTGGCTTCCATGATGCCAGGGGCAGAATTGAAAGGTAAACTTTAAACGGGCCCTTAGAATCACTGGGCTGCTCCCAAGGAGGTCGTTAGACCATGATGAAAGCTGGCCCAGAAATTGACCTTCAAACTTAGGAGCTTCCAGCAATCAAGGAGCCTTCCAGCGGTTCAACGGGACCCTCGAAAAAGTCGAAAGCCAAGAAAGTCAGATTGCACTATACCTTACATTACTGTGTGGCGATGTTTCTCTAATGAAACATATTGGTCACTGCTAGACTGGACCAGATGTACAAACAAGCCACGGCCGTAAAATGCGGTTGTCCTAGATGGGAGAGCTAGTGAGTCCCCGGTTTTTGTGGGACATTGAACAAGATTCCCAATGTCCGTCCCCAATGGGCCCTCGACTCAATATGTTCACCAAACCCGATGGCCAACAGAGTCCCTCTGCCCAGTGCCGTGGACACTTAGAAGCTAATTGAAAGCAGGACGCCCTAAAACACCACTGCTCTGCAAAAATCGGTGGTTGCAAGGTAGACCCTCTGTCCCTTCATGTCAACCCAGCATGAATCAACCTGGTGCATTCATAGGGAGTGCTTCACCCCCAAAAGTGAAGGATCCCCTCCCCTCCCAAATGGGACACGGACACGGCCCTGTTTGGGAGTCTCCATGTTTAGAAACACACCAATCCACTCGCCTGGCCCATGGGAGCCCAAGTGGATCTCCAGCTGCATCTAAAGATGCGCGCTGATTTGGGGTCAAAGCAGGGGTCGCCAAATCTGGCCACAGGCACGTGCTTCCAAAACATGAAGTGAGAGATGCCCAAAGGTCCCGGAGAGACCTTTAGGAAAACACGTTGTTTCCAAGAAACCGACACAAGGTTAGACCTTTGGCTCAGGGAAGGAGCAACCATGCCAAGAAAATCGTTTAACCCCCGGATCGGTATCGATTGCCATAAATTTGACAGACCCAAATGGATCCACCCCGCCCCCCCCCGCCCCCACCGTGCAACACATATTCCGCAGACTCGTCCCAATGGCGCATCCCAACCGGCCCCTCTCAAAACCGAAACACATCGTTACATCATGGACCTCTAAGGGCCTAAGGGGGACTATGGGGAAGGGGGCTGTCCCTTATTAGCCTGCTAATGGGCACCCCGGATTAATAAACCCCTAATACGGGGTGCCCCTGTTTTAGTGGGGAGTCATCACTATTGGAGGTGAGCACCCCCTATTAATAAACCGCTTTATTCATCCGGGGTCAACATTAATAAGGCTTTATCAAGTGCTTATCCTTGAATATCCTTGGCTCGAGGGATAGCCCTTCCATACCCCCCCCAGGGCTCCATCCTTTCAGCCCCCGGCACTGGCAGTCGCGCCCATCTTCACATAGGCGCGGGCCAGCTTGGCTGCCTCCCTCCCCTCTGCCGTCGGCTCAGCCTCAAGTTCGAACGTCAGGATCCCGGATCCCAGTTACATGTACAGTCAAATGCTTGGATTACATGACATTCTACAGGCAAACAGCTTATTTACATTTTTGGGGGGGCATGTTCTGTAGATTGTCCTGTAACCAAACCCTGTGGTACAGGTGACCATCCATGTTCCTTTGCTTTGGTAGGTGCAGTAGGGAACCATCCATGTTGCCTGTGTAGGTACGGTCAGTAACCATCCACGTGTCCTTTAGTGTTTAAATGGTTCCCTTTGGTTACCTACTATACAGGTACGTGATTTGCTACTCCGTGTATTGTAGTTCCGACACCACAAGACATATGCGGAGTCACAAACACAACTTGGCACTAGAATGGCCCCAAGAACTACAAAGACGGCCGCACTTAATTTTGGTTGGGACTGTCCCTTACTACCTTCACCCTACTTGGGCTTCGATTATGGCTCCGTGGAGGGTGGCATGGGCTGTGCGGGGTGGTAAGTATCCCCAATAGCACCCAGTTGCTCCGGACAACTCTGGAGCGTGGGCACAGATCCCGAAGCTTTCAGCTGGGGGATGGGGGGAATCTACACCAGGCAACTGGTGTTACACCAGGCAAGTGATGTCGCCTTTTTCGCCGTTGTTACACTTTTCCTGGTGAATAGAGGATGAACTGATTAACATGGAACCCCTTGTGGGAGACTCCCTTTTTGGCTTCCATGTTAACCGGGGTGTAAAATAGAGGGTCGGACTCCAAACAAAAAAATCATCCACTTGTGGCGTCGAATCGGACAACAAAACATGGCTGACTTAGCACATGCGCGGGTGAATATATGGACTGGAATAGCATGGGGCCCAGTTCGCTTTGCCCCCCAAAACAGCTTACTCAGTCCAAAAAAGGACACCCCAACATGTGCCAATATTCTGGGTGAGCAAGAATAATTCACACCATGGAACAAAAAAACAGGACCTTTTCACAAACAGTTGGTCCAGGGAAAAGAAGAGGATAGCTACCTTCTACCCAAATATTTGGTCATTTGGAGCTAACCCTTACGAACTAAGCTGAACATATCCCACCAACCACTTTTGAGGTGCCCCATTCAAATGCATAGCCTATTGCTGGTGCTCAGTAGGGAATGACCCAGGGTGTTGGGAATGAACCTAGGGATTCCCTTTAAGGAAATGGGCTTCATTCCCTCATTCCCTGAGAACCAGCAAGAATAGACGAATTCCCAAGCTATGCCATCAGCCCAAGCACCAAGCGCCTGACTCAAGTCCAGCGAGATGGCGTTGAGGGTTGTGGGCACCCGCACCTACGAACGAAGCGACTTAAGCGGCTGGGAATCGAAAAACTGACACGTGTCAAAATCAAGAGTGGGGTTTGTCACAAAAACTGGCACGTAAAAACCAGGGATTTCCCGGATGCAAAATCTAGAGCTCAAACTCCTAGTACCTAGAGTGGTCCTGAGTATGTGTCAAAATTAAGGGAAACCCACCCAACATGGAGGCTTTTCTTTTGGCTTTCCTTTAAGCCAAGCTGAAAGGCTGCTTCCCGAAAAGAAACATCCCGAAAGCACCTGCCAAGGCTAGCAGGTTTGCTCTGGGCACCTCAGGCACAGTTTCAAAACAAATCTAGGTGTAACTTTCATTTCCATTCTTTCCAGGGATCCTTCTTTCTCGAAAACCACCCAAAGCCCTGGGGAAATGGCTGGTTGTTGAAAAGAACGATGGCTGAAAATAATGGAAAAGGAATCAACCGCTAGAAAATAGTTTTTTTGTTCTCCCCCCGTCATGGTATGCCCTTCAAAAGCGCCGGAGGTGAAGCGAGGGGTCGTATTTCTGACAAGCCGCCCAAACGGGCTCTGCCCACTGGTGGGTTGTCGGTGCTGTTCATGGCCGCGCCAAAAAAAAGGGATGGACAATTCACGCACGATAACCCCATGTTTCTGCGGTCCTGGATTGCTAGCGCATGGGAAAATGGATCCATGCCCCGATGACTGACTGAGATTGGCCTCCTCTGGAAAAGTAATGTACACATATAGTAGATGTATACGATACCGCACACTGCACATGCAATCGCAACTATCCTGAACAAACACAGGGGTGTGGCTTGCTTGATCATGAAGCTAACCCAAAGAAAAACCATGCATTTGGGGGCCTCCAAAAACTAGAAACCCACATTGATTTATATGTCTGTGTTCGTTCCATATACAGGTTGATGTGCACTATCGATGTGTGCGAAAATCCATATGTTTCTGACCTGTGGGCCGGCATGTAACTATGCACGTAACGCATATGCTGATTCCGACCGACCCTGCAGGCAAAATTAAGCAAGCAACATTCATGATACTTATTCAGTCTGCCTTATGGCATCTGTTTGGATGCTGCAGCAAATAGCGCATGAGGAGAATAGCTCATGAAAATGCCTGCCCTGCTATGCCGGCTATATGCATGTCCTTTTTTACAAAACCAAAAAAAACAAGGATCTCAAGAAGGGGTCTGCAGTTTAAGCTCGTTTCACCCATCGCTAAGCTCACCATCAACGCGGCAAATACATGTCCAGGTCCATGAGGCGACACATGTCCTGTGCATGGCATCTGATTAAGCGCGAAGCGCACCGGCCAAGGTTGTGTGTGTGTGTATGATTATTGTTTTTCATACACTGGTGGCCTTTGTTGCCTGGGCACTGAAGGGAAACGAAAGGACGCCCACCATTCTTAGAGTCCCCCCATTGACACATGCCTAAAAGGATCTATAGTTCTGGAAGGGGCACAAGCAAACTGAACCATTCCGTTTTCAGTGTCAGCTCCCACCAGGAACCAGGCACCAAGTTGCAACCAACGTCCATGTGCAAAAAAGCGGACACCTTCTGCGTTGGTTGCTTAGGGAAACCCTTAAACAAAACCCATGTCCATTCCGAAAAGAAGGGGCCCCATATTTTGTGTGTTGCTTAGGGAAAACACCCTAAAGAGAACCCTAAACAAAACCCTAAGCAAACCCTAAAAACCCTTGCTTCGGACAAAAGCACGAAACATGCAAAGAAGACCCTGAGCACCCGGAGACCTGACCAACTTCCGCTCGCCCCCCGCCGCCAGCGCCGCCATCGCCGCCCCCTCGAGCCATCGAGCCAGGCGCCTGCGCGTTCCACTGGAGCAACTTCTCGGCGAAGCGGAGGCTGCTGGCGCCGATGTAGGTGCAGCCATCGATGTGGACCTGCGACACGTCGATCAGCCGCCGCGCATTCCTGGGCTTGCCAGATACAGGTCCAGATTGTGTGTTTCTTTTTTTCCCCTTTATAACACCTGCAACAAGTAAGCCCCCACATGTTATAAAAAGCCGTGAAAATGAGGTACTCCTGACGTGAGGCCCAACACGCCCACAGAAACACACCAGACTGGTCTGCCAGCTATTTTCGTGTGAGCAAGTTAGATCCCGGCATGGCAGCCATGTCCCTCTCCGACGCGGGCCATTTTTCAATAACAGCAGTGGGTTCCATCAGGTTCCGCAGAGCTTCGGGGCTGGTTAGGATTCTCCTTGGGCATGTGCTGGTTGATTTTAAGGAACCCGCTCAACAGAAGGAGCGTGGCTACCGCGCTGCGAAGTCGGAGCTTCGTCGTATTCAATACCCCAGCACGCTGTGGACAAGGAGGCGGATCGGATGGTCGCCATCTTTTTGCTTGCCCAAACGAGCCACTTTTCCCTCAGTTGATCCAAACTGATGGTGGGGACTCCGATTTCTAATTCGTAATCAGTGGGACAGCACCGGGGAAACCACTACCTGGCAGAGTTAGTGTGAACTTCGTGCTTTGTAGTCGTGGCTTTGAAACTAAGTTGGATGCCAGTATGGTGGCCATGTTTTCCTGGGGCTCCTTGGGCATGTTCCTGAAGAGGATCCGAAACCGGCTGTAGCTCCGATCGATTGCGCAGTATACCCCACAACCCCAAAACCCCAAAACCCCAAGATTAACTCTTGCTTTCTGAAGATACCACCTCATGTAACTCGATTTCGGCAACTCGTTCCACTGTGTGAGTTCGAAGTTTGCCGGCCCCATTTCATCCAACCCATGTCCCGGATCCCAGATTCGTGTCCTAAGTTTTAAGGCCCAAAGATTTCTTCACCTGTGTCAGTGAGTTCTTCCTAAGGCCCGCCCATTTCTTGGTTGACCTTGGAAGAGGAGCAAAAAGTCAAATTTCAGCAGTTCAGTGGATTTGGATTACAACCACTAAACCACAATAAGCAAAAATGCAAAATGTTTCCCAACAACAGCCATGATTTGTCGGACCCATGACCCCAGGGTTTTTCAGGAACGACTTCTTCGAATCGAACGACCCCAACTAGGTCCTCTTAATAGAGAGGATAGAATAAGAGTACCCTTTTCTCTGTCGCCTATTTTAGTAGGGGAACCCTCCCAACCAAAAAAATACAAGGTCGGGCACCAATACTTACCCCTTAAAACTCCAAGGATTGGGGAAGTTAATCTTTTACAGACATATAGCCCATGTTACCCCCAAAAAGTGGAAAAGTTGTGCTTTTAAGAGGTAAGAATAGCTGGGGGGCTGCAGCTGCGCGAGCCGCAGAACCACGCTGAGCGCCGCCTGCCGCGCCGGGCCCTGCGCGCCCGACAGCATCTCGCGGTCCGAGGCGCTCAGCGCCACGGAGTCCTCAACCGCCGCCTGGGCGCGGGCCGTGGGGTCCCCGGAGAAACAAAAAAGGGGTCTCCGCCTCCTTCTCGGATCGCTCGGATCTGTCGGGTCCCTCGGCTCCGCTCCAAATGCGATCCCCGCGCAGCGACACCGCGAACGCGGAGTCTCCGCGCGCACGGCTCGCGGCGCCCAGCGCCGCGAAGTCCTCGGCGCCCTCGGGGAAATTTTTCGGCCAAGCGCTGCCCAAAGAAATGGCGAACCAGCCCTCCCCCCACCTGAATCAAGCATTATTCCGACGGGAGGGGAGGGGAGGGCTACAAATTCAACCTCAACTCTTTGGAGGTGGTTTTCTTTCTTGGAATGACCCCTGTAAACCTCCTTCAAGGGAATCTTCGTTTCCATGGCTCTCATGGCCTCCAAACCATGTCCGTCCCTCGACTCACCCCATATTCCAGGCGCCAGCACCAGCAGCGGCAGCCGCCGCTGAAACAACTCCAAGGCCACCAGCGCCCCCAGCGCCAGGACTTCGTCCGCCTCCTGCAGCACCAAACCCGCCGGGGCCTCGCGCGGACACGAGCGTCGAGCGCGGGACCGCTGGAACCCGAGACACGAGAAGATGGCTGGGGGGGGGGGGTAACGGGGCGGGAAAGGGCGGAAAAATTGCGGACAACAAACACAAACAAGGGGGGGGAAGGGGGGGGGTGCGTTTTGTTTGGGGGGAAAGACGAAGAAAGACAGGGCTCTGAGGGGAAGACAAGTTGGACGGGCAAGAAAGAGGCCAGGTTGCAAAAGTTCGGTTAGCGTTAGTTGATTCCGTTTGCCTTCATGAACCAGGGGGTTAGCTTTGCAAAACCAGAAACAAACTGGTGCCTACCCATACGAGAAAATGGGATTCCATGGGACTTGGTCTCATTTTGGGGGGGAAAGGGGGGGGGATTGGGGAGGCGGGTTGGGATTCAACTTACAAAGAAAACCAGGAGCTTGTTGCACGGTAAAACACAGGACTCACCCAATGCTTTCGCCTGGTTGGCAATTAGAGCTTCACGTTTTATTTGACACCAGTCAGCAGGCTTGGACCAACTACCTGCTTAAACATGTTTGAACCACTGTGGTTTAGGCAGTCTGAATTGGGTTTCCCTAAGAAAAAGGGTCCGGTTCTTCAAGCCAAGCAACTGGAGGCGGCGTTGGGGAAAGTATGGGCACACTAAAAGCAAGCTTCCACTTTTGGGGGGGCCCTCATCTTGGTTGTTGTTGAACCCCCCCGCACAAAGTTTTTCATTTTTTTGGGGGGGGTTTAGTGGAAAACACCTTTATTTTCCAAAAAGTTAAAGTCTAAGATCCAAGCCAATAGCAGTCAAGTCATGTTCTGTGCAAGTTGGTTTCCATTTGCTTGCGGCCCTCCGAGCGAAGCGTTTCAGAACTTCGCCCACCTTCTCCTGCAGCAGAAGCTCCAGCAGCACTTGGCTCCCAGTGCAGGAACCTGTGGAGTGGGCTTTGATTCCTTTTCCGTTCTTCTCAAAAACCAGCCATTTTTCCCCGGGGTTTTGGGTGGTTAAACAAGGATCCCTGGAAAGAATGGAAATGGAAGTTACCCCTGGAACATTGCCCCCCAGAGGGAAATGGACATCGCGATGAGGTCAATATTAGGTAAATTGAGCCGTGCCAAATACTTGTGTAAAAAGCGGTCCTATGAACTTGCTTTCTCGGACCCTTTCGCGATGCTTTCGCGACCCCATGTTTTGCGTTCGCGGGCTTTGTTTCCTTTAGAGTTGCTTTCGCGACGCTTTCGCGGCGGACTGTCACACAGCATGCAAGCTTTCGCGGGTCTTTCGCGGCGGGACCTTCTTTGATTTTTTTCGCCATAAGCTTTCGCCAGCTTTCGCGGCCTGCGTTTTGGCTTTCGCGGGGATTCTAGAGGACACCCCCCTTTACTACTTTGTATCGTCAGGGTTTATGGCGCTGCTCAATTGGTGAATGTGTCCAAAACTCTGAGTATGTGTTAAGGCGATGGGACGCGAAAGGCTCAACTGCCGTGCCATCTTTGGACGCGTGTGCCGGCACTGAATTCCCAGATGCTTCTGAACCTTCCCTTTTGGCTACTCTACAAAAATGCCCCGGCCCCAAATGACATGATGTCAACGAGAGGGACTGCACACAAATCAGCAAACGTCACATTTGTTTGGCGTTTCTTGGGACAAATTCGACTAAGGGGATGTTGAGGACAGGGATCTTCCCCGCTAAGATCCTTTGACCTCGCAACCCCTTGGCTTTCCGTTGGACACCAAGCGTGATGGGGACGGACAAAACTCCAAGAGCCCAATTTTGGATACTCGAGGGACACTCAAACGCAAACCATCTTCAGGGATCCGCGGTTCGAGCTGCGGAATGAAAAACGGCCACGCCGCACTTTGGCCTTTTGACTATGGGACGTCAACAAAAGATGAGCTATGAAGCGATGCATGTAGAAAGCTATGAAGCGATGCATGTTTAAGAAAAAAAACAAAAGACACACACACACACACATGGGACGTCTCCAAAGATGAGCCATGAAGCGAACAAAACGCGGGAACTCTGCAAACGGAACATGTTTGGGTTGCCCGTCCGGGGCCAAACCGCCCAAAGCCGAAAACGCCGGCTCCGGCGGGTTTGGGGCCTCGACCGCCGGGCAGGGCCAAGATCTTGCCCTCCAACCTACGCCAGCGACTGACGAATCCACCCCTCCCACCCGGTGAAAGGGATCGATTGACTAGGTCCAGATATGAGGATCGGTTAGAAGAAGTTGGTCCCCGATTTGTTTTATTTTATTTGTTTAATACATATATATGTATATATATATTATTTTTTTTCCGGGACGTCGAGTTCCTACAGGGGAACCCTCCCAACCAAAAAAAAGGAGAGATGGGCACTACTGGGGGACCCAGCCAGGGGACCTGTTTCTGTGGGGTTCAGGGCTCAGTACCTTTGAATCCCGGGTTTGGAAGCCGAAGCGAACAGTCGCTTCAAAAAAAACGCGCGGCCTCCCGATGGAACAGCCACACAGGCTTGGGAAACAGAGTGACTCCCCAGTCGACCACTAAATTGAACCATTGAACCCAAAACAAAAACACAAAAGACCGAACCCTGCCAAATTAGAACCAAGATCCCCCCATGGAATAACGCAACTCGCTAGTCTTCAAGGAATGTGGGAATGAAGTTGGGGTCATTCTCATAAGGTTAGAAAACAAACAAATGATCGCACCCCAAACCTCGAAAAGCCACGCCCCCCTGACCTTGCGGGAAACTTGGGGTTCCAGTCCCAGCAACAGACCCATGACTTGGTCAGCCCTCCGCAAAAATTCTATACTTCCCAACCTGAAGTAAAAATATGGGAGCCAAGTCTAAGTACAGGACCCACCTGGGTGGAACCGCTCGTTTCACACCCATTGGCATCCGTCGCTCGCTCCGGATTCCAACTTCCGAGCGGAGGCGCCGGGCGCCGCTGAGCGGGTGGTGCCGGTCCACCACGGTGCCGCTTTTGGGGCACACCCCGCCCCAGAAGCTCAAGCCCACCGTGGAGTGGAGCACCTGCGCTCTACTCTCATTTGGCTGTGGGTCAAAGTAGGTGGCACATGGGATGTTCATCCACCCCAAAATGGAGCCTAGGTTGTGCCCCATGGCCAGACACTGGCAAAGAGTTCTGAAAGAACCACACTCACCCTGCCATAACTGTGCATACATGGGAGGATAAGGTGAAACAGGCAGTCGTCCCACACAAGTGAAACATTCGACCCAGACAAAATCGGCGAGCTTCGTTCCAAAGCCACAACACGTGTAAACATTATGGGGGACCCCCCTACGACAAAAAAAAGCAGCACCTTCCAACTGACCTCAACCAAAGGCTCCAACATGGTGACTCCGTAGATGCCTCGACCTTATCTCACTCTCTTTGTATTGTGATATCTGGGTGAATCGTTTTGGTGGCCCCTTTTTGGGTGTGTTAAAAGCCACCATTTTGGGGAGTGCCCTACAGAAACAACAAGAACACATATGGCTCTGGCTCCAAACACCGGTACCAACATGGAACCTTGCTAAGTGGAAACATGGACCACCTTCGCAAATTCTCCTGTTCAATTTTGAGCCACGGCCATATGCATTCTATCCCAAACCCCCTAGGAAGTGGCATCGGGAATTTTCACTGGGGACCCAACAAAGGTCCTGGAAGTCTGGGCCATTTGCAACTCGTACTGGGAGAATGTGGATGGCATGATGCTCAGATGCCCAGATTTCCGTGGGGCAAGAAAAAAAGAATCGGCACCCTTGTCTTGTGGGTTGAGTTTGAAGGGACACCCTTACCAAAAACAATGGGGAAAAAGGGCACCACTGGGCAACGGAGAATTCCTTTGAAGTGAAGGGGATGCAACCAAACCATGCTGTGCCATCTGGCAGTGGGTCAAAACCAATGGCACCATTTTGGCCACCCATTTTAGTCTACGTTAGTCGGGATTGGGATGTTCACTGGGGGTACGGGATTTTGACCCATGGCCATCTATTTTCACCAGATTGTAGGCCGTTCCAGCCAAACAAAAACTGACGCCTCCCCACTGGCGTAGCCATCCACCACAGAGCGGCCCCGTAGAACGCCCATGGCACAAGAGGACATCACGGGGTCCTTGTTGTGCTAGGTCCTCCAGTAGAGAGGCTAGAATAAGGGTACCAACTTTTTTCAGGACGTCTATTTTAGTAGGGGAACCCTCCCAACCAAAAAAGGATAAAAGGGCACTACCGGGGGACCTAGTGTGGCTGTGTGGGTAGACAATTGCCAGTTGCTGAATGAAGAACACCCGGCGCCAAACTGAGTAGGTCCGCGAGCACGCCTGTGGTATTTCAATGTTTCACCCGAACAAAAAATTACTTCTAAGAAAAGGCTTCATTGTCAGATCAAGGAAACTGGAGGCGTCGTTCCATCGGGAAGAAGCCTAGGTGGGGCGCAGTCAGATTGTACACTTTTCTTATTTGTGGGAACCACATAAATTAGTCTGATCAGATTGACGCCATCCTTCTTGGTAGGGAACCAGTTCGTTTGTTTGCTGGAGACCTGGGGGCAAGGCGTTCTGACCCGTGATAAAGTTATCTTGTTTCAACCTTTGCAATAGTCATTTGGCTGCATCCCCTTCCAAATCTGAAGCTGTCCCCAAGCTTTTGCCCGGACTCGTGGCATCTCATGGCAGTTGCTTAGCTGGGCTCAGCCTACCGTCTGCGGGGCCCGGCGGTGCTTTCCATGTCGGGCCGTCAGCAGCATGACATTCATGCAAAGATTCTTTTGGTTCACGCACGTCCCTGCAAATTAACATGTAGCCCCAAAAAAGGGTGCGCCAAAAGAAGAGTTCTCCAACTGAGGTCTCTTGGGGTTCCATGTCAATCTGAAGGGAGTAAGTGACCGATTTGCACCTTCAAATGAAATTGCCTCAAGCGGGCGCTAATCAAAAGGGCACAGCCGTAATGCCACAGACTCAGAAGGGCTCTCACAGTGGCGATTGCCCAGCCGGTTTCCTTCAGCGAAAAAGGCAAATGCGGGCGTCCTAGTTCTCTTAGACCTCTGTGAAAATGGTACTTGCAGCAAAGCCTAACGTTGACCCCGTATTAATCAACCCCTGTTTATTGGTAGGGGGGTGTCCTTGGGTTCAATGGGGAATCATCACCTTTGGAGGGGAACACCACCCTACTAACAAACAAAGGATGATTAAATATGGGGTCAACATTACGGCTAATGGCACTGTCAGCCAAAATTCGTCGTTGGAGTACCGAAAGGTAATTTCCCACGGCACACGTCCGGTGGGTTCCATGATAATTGGTAAGGTTTTGGAACCGAACCTTGACTCAAAATGGTCCAATTGTAGAAAGCAGGACATCAAACAATTTATTATCTTTCGTGGATACCCTTTTTCTAACAAGAATCATGGCATTCCCTGTCCTTCATAGCAAGCTCCAGGACCCTTAGCTTTTCCAGCCATAGACCCCTGCAGAAAGTGGTAACATGTTGCTGGTGCGGGAAGATGGTGTTCCCAAACATGCGCAAATGTTGAACAGGTACGTTAAGTCTGGCAATGTTTGGGCGTCCACCCAGACAACCCCCCGATGGATTTCCACGGAGAAAAATAGGGCACTCTTCCTTTGTGGTTAGCTTTAAAAAGTTGACAAAAATAAGTTGACAAAAACAAGTTGACAAAAACAAGTTGACAAAAATAAGTTGACAAACCATAAGTTGACAACAATAAGTTGGCCAACATAAGTTGGTCAAAATTAAGTTGACAAAATTAAGTTGGCAAACAACGTTGACAGCAATAAGTTGACAACAATAAGTTGACAACACTAAGTTGGCAAAAATAAGTTGGCATAAATAAGCTGGCAACAATAAGTTGACAACAATAAGTTGACACAACATAAGCTGGCAACAATAAGTTGGCCAAAATAAGTTGATAACAAAATGACAAACATAAGTTGACAACAACAAGTTGACAAAACCCACTCGTCCAAGAAAGAAGTTGATCAAAAACTGGGAATGGGTCTGGCTTCCCCCTGGGGCCTGGCGCCGGAGGTCGTGAATTTCCACCGCCTGCGCCTGGCACTGAGCCCGTTCCGCACCACAGGGCTCAGGGGTTGGCTTCAGACAAGGGACTTGGACACCTCAAAGTGGCTTCAGATGTCCTCTGGGTTTCACACACACACAGCACACCACACCACACCACACCACACCACACCACACCACACCACACCACACCACACCACACCACACCACACCACACCACACCACACCACACCACACACACACACACTCCCACACACACACACACACACACACACACACACACACCACACACACACACACACACACACACACACACACACACACACACACACACACACACACACACACACACACACACACACACACACACACACACACACACACACACACACACACACACACACACACACACACACACACACACACACACACACACACACACACACACACACACACACACACACACACACACACACACACACACACACACACACACACACACACACACACACACACACACACACACACACACACCACACACACACACACACACACACACACCACACACCACACACCACACACCACACACCACACACCACACACCACACACCACACACCACACACCACACACCACACACCACACACCACACACCACACACCCCACACCACACACCACACACCACACACACACACACCACACACACCACACACACACACACACACACACACACACACACACACACACACACACCACACACACCACACACCACACACCACACACCACACACCACACACCACACACCACACACCACACACCACACACCACACACCACACACCACACACCACACACCACACACCACACACCACACACCACACACCACACACCACACACCACACACCACACACCACACACCACACACCACACACCACACACCACACACCACACACCACACACCACACACCACACACCACACACCACACACCACACACCACACACCACACACCACACACCACACACCACACACACACGTTCAAACGTGAACTCACAAAGGGGTCGAAATCATATGCCTAGCTTCGTTGGTTCGGTGCCCAAAAATCTGCGGAACTCGAAGGCCCCGTGAAGCAGGCCCAGGTCTTTTCCCTCAAACATGGCTCCAGTTGGTGGTTTCAACAGAGATCCTTACAATAGAAACACCTGAACATTGCAACTTGTAAATGGCGGTTTCCCTTTATTTTGGTGTCAAAAGCAACATGTCTTAAATGGTTGCAACATGTATCTTTTAAGGAGCCCTGTTCAAACATATTTATACTCGGCACTGTCCGTTGCTACCTTTGCTTGGGGGGGGTTCTTCAAAATAGGGGATGGTTGAAAAAAAACGCGCGCGTGACAACTACTACTTCTACCAACACTGCAGCAGTCGTCCCTTTCGCACCGAGCATGTTTACATTTTCTTTACGGTTTGTACTGAACGCACGTAACGTTCAATGAACCAAGTGCTGGATCACTTCATGTCAGCATATTTGTTCACACAAAAGAGCTGGGTTCATCCAGGCATCTGCCAAGTTGGTTCTGGCCAACGCTCCCTATGGCTGTTTGAATGACTCCTCTAGATATTTTGGCTTGCTGAGTTGATGGCCAAAATGCAACGCGTCCTTCAGGTGGCTCAATTATATATCTTTAGGACCCCCTGTGGCCACAGTCGCTTCGCATGTTTAGACGCGCTCCGGCCAAGCTCCGTTTCTCAGCTGTGAATCAAGGAATGAACCGTTCGGGAATCCTGTTAAACGTGACAAGGGATGGGTTTATTGTTGTCATTCCCTCATGCACTATCCGAACCAGCAAGTTTGTACTGCAACCTATTTGGACAGCCTTCATTGTTGCTATGCGAGAACTTTGGCCTCAAGCAATGCTAAATCAAGTGCCTTCCCTGTGGTCCTTTGACATCAGGTATTTTGGACTATGGGCGGTCACTTCCTGTTTGTCACAGGCTCCGTCGCCGTTTCTAAAACATCCACCACCATACCCTCATTGGCCATTCGTTCAACAAAAGAAACACAACATACACAGATAAATGGACCCATCTCAGCGACACCCCGCCGACACCTGCTGACACTCTTCGGTGTGTGCGAGACGCCTGCGCAGAAAGCGAGCTGTGTGTGCGTCAAGAGCGCAGGGCGCGGGATGGGGTCAAAGGTGCGCTTTGGACTCACACAAAGGCATTTCGAGCCGCAAAAAACAGCTGAATGAATGAAGAGAATGAGTGAGAGTAACAACAGAAAGAACAGCTCGGATGGTTTCCACTACAAACCACCTCCCAAGGGGACCAGTGTATGTATATATATATATATATGCTACCCCCCCCCCCAGGTACCCAGGTTTGACCTTGGTTCAGATGTGCTTTCGCCGCAGAAGCAGGCAGGAAGAACAGCTCAGATTTGCACACTGGGAGACCAGAGGAGGGAGGTTTGCCTCAGTGAAGAAAGACGCCTTGGACGTGACCCATGCCCTTGTTCAGTGGCTCTTCCACACAAAATTCAAGTCACATATCTTCCCACACAAACCCATGCCTTCTTTCAAAGGCTCTTCCACAGAAAACTCACATATCTTCCCACACAAACCATGCCTTGTTTCAATCACTCTTCCACAGAAAATTCACACATCCTCTCACCCAACACATGTCTTTTTACGTGTCTTCTTTCAATGAAACAAAGGCAGCATATGTGAAAGAGTTGCCAAGCAAAGTGAACCCTGTGTAGAATAAAGCCAGGCTATGGCTGGGACAGTTTGTGTTACATAAACGGTGGTTTTACATTATATTATGTCTTTTGCTGTACTTTTATGAATCACTGTAACCCTGACTCTTCCACAAAGACTCACATATCATCTCACACAAAACATGTATTTTTCAATGACTCTTCTCTACAGAAAATTCACATATCCTCTCACCCAGAACATGTCTTCTTTGACAAAGGTTCACATACCCTCTCACCAAAACATGCCATTTTTCAAAGGCTCTTCCACAGATAATTCAAATATCTTCCCACACAAACCATGCCTTCTTTCAAAGACTCTTCCACAGAAAAATCACACATCCTCTCACCCAGCACATGTCTTTTT